AATGATGAGCTTCTTTCTTGTTTTACAATTGCCTCAAAATTGTATATTGTATTGTGTACTGTGTACGCGGAAGTTAAAATAATGGAGGGAATTTAAAAACAGTAGAATACACTTCGTGGGACATGTTCTACTCTGCAACCTTTTAAAATAAAACGAAAGATCCAGGTGGCCTGATGCGAATTTCACTTTTGGATTACGCAGGTAATCCATCTCACATGAATTCGTCAAATTGGATTCTGTTTCTCTAATTAAGCGTTCAACTACCATATTATCTATGCTTTCCCTATACCATCAACATCCAATACGGAGATTGTGAATTCGACGTGAACTGATGAACTGATTCCGTTGCGAAACAAACAGAATGGACGAATACAAAGTTCCGTGAACTGCAATAAAGGGGGGAGGTATGGAAACTCTGATCCGGAGGCACAGTGATAAGGTCCGATTAGGATCCCTAGATGTAGAAGTCAAGATCAGTGTAATCGATTGTTACAAGTCATCACCAAGTGTTGCAAACAACAGATGTGCATCCGGACGAATTTAGTCAATGAGAATTAAAAATACAGTTTGGCGAACAAGCCTATTTTCGGTGGCTGGCTAATACGTCACATTTTATACAACGTCATTTTGTGTAGAAAAGAGAAAAAAACTAATGATTATTCAAATGGGGACTTTTGTTGTTCTTGTTTTCTATCTCAGTTTCACAAAACCGGATATGGTTGATCCCACTATCAGAACTTAAGCGTGGTCCATGTCACTTGTGTGATTTGGGATGGGACTAAGAGAGGATGAGGATGAGAATGGGAGGTGGAGGGCCATGGTAAGTTGAGTGACTTCATAAATTGTTTTGAGGCACACATGAGGGGATTATGTCACCGCCTCTGCGGTGACTAGGATTCGGTTTGTAATCGGCTCTGATCTGCGACACCAAACACAGTAGAGAGCCCGAAATGCTTCAGTCACATTTACTGTATGATTAGAACCGACAAGGTGTGAAACAATAGCATTTGTAATAGTCTTAACCACACCAGTGTTCAGCCAGGCCGAATGATGTTCCCGGACACGTGTAGATAGGCGCCTACTCGTGCGGCCGATATACGTTGATCCATAGGAACACGTTTACCGGTGCACACAAAACAAGACTGCAGAAGCAGGAATCCTGTCTTTGAGTTGCGAACACTGGGTCGGTCTGGACAGGAATACTATACGTAATTTTGCCGCATGCAAAGTATTTTCCACCGCAGTTCTTAGTTTGTGGCTAAACAACCCGATGATTGCATCCCCCCCCCCCGTGAATGGGAGAGATGTATATTGGTTTTGTTCACTGCGTTTGAAAGTCCTTCCCTTCAGACGGTTATTTCGTGAAATGTTATCCACAACACGTTATGGATAACCATTGTGTAGGAAAATATCACGAATGAATGATATTTTCTCATTTGTGCATATTTTTGCCGCCCTGTTTACCAAACACTAAATAAGATTTTCTCTTCATCTGAGTGGCACAAAACTTCTGAAAGGGAGATACAGGCCACTCCAAGTTGATTTCCTATAAATCGATCTGTGAATGGAACCATTTGTGCGACGCTTTAGCCAGATGTCGAGGAACCCAATCCCGCCAATAACCTCTTCTTCCAATGTGGACTTGATGATGGGATGAGCGAAATTAAATATCCTGACCTTACTGTCCACAAAACATAACCTCATCGACATATCGTCTGTAAAGCTTACATCGCTTAGTCGTGGACTACAAAACAATACTTCCCGACTTGGACATGGATAAATCCACAAATTGAGGACAGAGCGGGGATCCTATTGTGACTGCATCCTTTTGGCGATAGATTTCCTCTTTGAACTTAAACTGAACCTGTGCAGAAGTACATTGACTGTTTCAGGTTATCCAGGGGTATTACGATTTCGATATACTTTGGTCACATAAATACGCAGTGGTCTCTGTGATAGGAACACTAGTGAACAGTGAGTTAACTTTATGGATATCATCCGTTGGTCATCCACCTTTGCGTTTCTGATTATATTTACCAAGGTGAAAGAGTCCGGTTAAGTGTGGGCTGTAAGAGTGGCTGTATTAGTATTCTTTATTTCTCTTTGAAACTACTGTCGACAGTTGAATGTCTCGTCTACTCCCTTGCCTACATGGGCAACCAAAACCGCCGCACGAAGGTGTGTACGCACAATGATTGTTAAAATTGAAGCTTTGAAAATTGCTCGCAATCAAGAGGATTAAGCAAACCGATAAATTTTTTTGCAGATAGCTATAGTGATCATGATGATGATAAATCGTACCGCAACAGACCTCATTCTGAAGTGTGGCCGTTTTGTAGTTCTCTACAACCACAGGGATCCGTAAAACGTGTCTTACACTGAGCACAAAAAAACAGGGAGGGTAAACTGTGAGGTTCTTCAGTTTGCATGTATCTGTTCTAAAGTGAGCGCTTTAGGTGAATTATCAAAATGTCCGGCAGTATTTGAAAACAAACAAACACTGCAGCTTTCAGTTGAACATGTATTCGTCCAGTTTGAGATGAAGCCTGCTCGTTATTTATTTGCCAGATAAACCAGAATTTTGATGAACAAAATAGTGTTATCTATTCGCATTATACTATTGGCGAATTGTGTTGGCAGATATTTTCAGTCAACTTCATAGAGTACGAAGAACATGTGCTATGCTATGCAGGTTTGCAACCCCAAATTGAGCCAATATGAAATGAGATCTGATAGAATGTGGGTACGAAGAACGCATTATGGATCAAATAAACTAGTTGCTACAAACAGTGCTATTTTATGCTGGTGAGGACGTTCCAAAAATAGCACGTTGCATGACCACAACAAAACATGAAGACAGGTTATCCTCAACCACCCACTCTCCAATAGGTTTCTGAGAAACTATTGTAGTCTGGAAAGGTTTGGTTGTAGTTTATCGAATCAGAAACAATCTATCAGCTCATATTGATTTTCTGCATTATTGTATCCGGTATGCAGTTAACAATTTATTCTCGTTTGGGGTATAATAATAATGATAACTTTGGGCACTGTTCAGTTGCAGTAGTTTCACAACGTTTTGTGCATTCTTCACGGAAACGTTTTCATACGGTACCACTGTGTCTTTGTCATATCCGGTTTCGAATTATTTACCATCTTCGCAACCATGGTGATTTCAATTGATAAAAAAGCGATGAACGTTAGGAAAAAGAGTATTCATCCGTGTGCCACACACTGTGAAATTCTCATATCATATAATTATGTGGTGTATTTTGAAAGATGGATTTTTCGCATAAGCGGGCACTTATAAGATAAAAAAACCCGAAAGTGCGACTTGAATAGCTATTGCACAATGTACCAATGGGTGGCACGAATAACTTGTTGTGAAACGGGCACTTTTGTCGGATGATGAACGATTACGCATTGTTTGCCAAATCTGTATGCGATGTAATTAACCGTGTGATGATCGCAAAGGTGAGTTCAATAACTGTTGCTCTCTTGTCGGGCACCTTAAAAGGTGGTCGGTTTGGTTTCCTTGACCAGACTCGAGATGGAGACCTACGAGTCGACATTTTCTGACGTAAACTCCACGGTTGGTGATTAGCACTGTGAAGAACAGTTTATGGTGGTGTGTAATGATTGTAGTAATGGTAGTAGTCGTACGCACTGAACTCGGAATACGAACCACACAATACGGATCACGGAATATGAATCAAGGGTTGGCAATCACGGACTGGATCACGTAAGCACTGGACCGCACGGTCACTAGCACACAATATCCCATGTAACTGAGGCGCGAGGAAAAGGACACACGAATGGTAGTTCGTTTATTTGAAGAAACAAAGGGATTAAATAATGTGTACACAGTAAGCTCATTGGTTATTCAAGCTCATATCAATTGCCTACCATTATTCCTGACATCGTTCTGCTTCTGTCTGGGCCGCACGGTCTCTGATTGGCTGCTACAATCTGCCTATGGTATATAATCAGAAGCAGTGAGACGGTCGTTGTTGACGTCACCCGTGAGGTTTGACTGATCACAGTTATCTAAAAAACGCGTCGCTCCACGGTACGTGTCACCTCGTAGGCCCGGATCACCTTATGATGTTTAGCGAGTACAGTTGGGATGAGGCTATTTGAATTGCTACGGCCTATTTCTTGGTAGTGTGTGCGATGCCGGAATGAATTTCCCTTTTTTTGAAGTTTAATGCTCTCAACCAAGGATCTGAGGTTCATTGTTATAGCAACAAAATCGCAGTATGCGCAAGAGGGAAATCCATGGGCGAACATAAACATCAAAAGCACAGCAAAATGATAGAAAAATCCCATGAACTATTCCCCTGACGCTATTTGTCACATGGTTTCAATCACCATCTGTGACACAGTTGACTGGCTTCAATTGTTTTGCACATGCTTAATCCTGTGCCACATTTCCCACGTACCACGGCGTAGTCATCTACGAGCGATCAAGTGGTCTTTCCAGTCAGTGTGGCCCGGATTACATATTACATGTTGTTAATGTGTGTAACCTATCTGCAANACTTAAGCGAGGATTAAAAACCCAGTCCCAGCACCAAGGGCAACCCTGGAATCCATGACTTCTATGCATCCGGGTCAACGAGTCGAGATTGATATGATGAGCCCTCTAACGGTGACCCGTGAAAGGAACCGATATAACCCGGTTATGATTGACTATTTCACGAAATGGGTTGAAGCTGTTGCCATTCGGTTCCAGGACGCGTCAACGGTCGTGAAAGCATTTGTCCAAGAATGAGTGAGTCGATATGGTTCTCCGAAAATCCTCCACTCCGACCAAGGCGTTCGAAAACCAGCTGCTGTGGGAAATGTCTCGTTTGCTGGGTGTAAAACGAACCCGAACGACCCCGTATCATCCTCAAGGTAACGAGCTAGTGGAACGTACCAATCGGAACATAAAGGGTATCCTTAAAGGTTTCTGTGAAACCGTTGATGCAGGTCGCTGGAACAAAACACTTCCGCTGTGCATGCTTGCCTATCGTGCTTCGTACCATAGTACCACTGGGTACAGTCCAGCATTCTTGACGCTCGGACGTGAGTTATGTTTACCCGTAGAGATAGTGGTGCAACTGTTACCAAACCCTGCTGACACCACGCCTGCCTATACCCGAGACTTTGAAGAACGTCTTCAGCAAGTCTTCCAACACGTTCGGGAACACGCCGGCCGAGTGCAAGAGCAACAGAAACGCGTTTACGATCGCGAAATTCACGGGAATGCACATAATGTGGAGGACCGTATATGGCTTCCTCGACCAAGGCCACCGCAGGGCACTTCAACCAAGTTCCATCCGCCGTGGCAGGGGGCCCTACGAAGTCGTTCTTCAGCGTTCAACGACAGTCTATATTATCCGCAAAATCGGCTCTCGAAATAACGAAACAACAAAAGTACATTTCAACTAGTTGAAACCATTCTCGTTGCCCCAGAATCCGAAATAGAACCCGTACCTCCGGGGGCGCTCCCGGTAGTGAAACAGACAGTTGAAGTCGGGCCCGACGGTGGTGAGGCAGTTGTGACGGGCATTGAGAACAGTACCTTCTCAGAGGGAAGGCAGTGTAATGGAACCGAAAGCGCATTGGGTTATATGCATCCTCGAGTTTCCTCTCTCTCTCCCTTTCAGGCTTCGCCCGGTGCCCCAACAACCCAGGAACGTTCCAAAAACGATTACTGACATTACACCCCTGTTTAAAGTCACTTGTTCGATGTTATTGATTTTGTATTCTGTTACCGCACGTATCCGACATATTCAGAAGCTGTGTGAGACATGTTTTAGCCGTCACGACTCTCGCTCTCTCTGTAATTGGACTGGGGATGCAAAAATAAGGGGTACGGTGGTGGAAAACATCTGATGATGAAAATCAAATAATCTTGGGGAAGGTTTGTTGAAAAATGTTCTGCTCAGCAATCCAATCATCGAACCGTTCTCATTTCCACTATTAGTGTATTCAGTGATTTTGAAAACACTAACAGATCAGCATCCCGGCTTGAGGAAGAATGTTTTATTTTGTGTAGTATAGTGTGGATAGAATTGTACAGAATTGAATTAAAGCGAGGATTGGCCTTGATAAGGAGAATATTGGAAAAGATTAGCTATAGCCTATTGGAGTTTACCCCGGAAGATTATCTCATTTCCTTCTTCTCAGCTGCATCTTTTTTTTGTCATGACAAGCTTCTTGATTTGGTTGATTGATATCTGTAGCACCATCATGATAAGTCGAACATCAGTAAACTGTGCAACGTTTATACATGAACCATTTTTTTCCCAATCTATCTATCTGTTTGATCAGCATCAGTGTTGTATGGAGAAAATGTATTGAATTTATTAATTTAGGATTTTGCTTCTGAATTATTTTTCCCAGTTTTAATTGATGCTGTGGGGTGGGAAGGGAGCATCGTGGATATTGCAATCAGTCAGTGTCCGCGAACAGTAATTGATTTTTTTCAAGTCAGTAGTGGTTTTATGCACCCGAATGGGTGTATTTTCAGCAATTACACCATATTTGTGGATTCAAATTTACAAAATGATTACATGATGAAACTGAAAGCAATGAGGTGTTTGTCAATGAAGCAAGCGGTTGCGCAATTCTGTGGAAATTTTGTCCTTGTCTATAAGTAGACGTGCTAGATATAGCAGAACAGAATTACGGTGAGCACAGGTACGTGCAAATAAGAGTTTAAATCTTGAGCGTGTGGATGATACAGAAACAGCTTTTGAAAATTCATTGTGTAATGGGTCAAGAGTGTTTGAGAGTATTTTGGCGGAGAAATTTTCACATGGGTTTTAGGTGTCTATCAGTGCTATATTCGGCGAATTCATCCCTGACAATACCACTACATTAAGAGATGTGTTTCAGGGATCTCGCCAGTAAATAAAAGTCTTTCTTCAACATAACGGGAAAAATTACTGGAGAGCAATACAACCAGTGGGGTAGCACGCATGCATTCACAAATCTAACAATCAGCTTGTGGGGAACAGAAAGTAATCTCTATCGGAGTAAGAAATATGAAAGCTTTCTAACTTTGCAGAATGTGTTTGGAACTTGCAGTGACCATGATAAATTGTGTGACAGGGTGACGCCAAGGTATTTTTACAATTTTTGATTTCGGTAGGGGTTGCTGATTTGCAGAGAGGGTGGGGAGCCTATCTGTAAGGGCTGAATATGGTACATCGGCCAAGAGGGAAAACACAACATCCTGACATTTAGAGACATTCAATGAGAGGGAACGGGACAAGGACCAAGTGATGACGTCATTCAGCTCGCTTTGAATTTTGGAAGCCTCTTTAGGGGTGGATGCTTTGCAACCTATAATAAAGTCATCAGCGTATTTACAGCCAATGAATGCAGGAGGAATGGGAAATTGTTTGATATGCATAAAAAAGAAAAACGGGGAAAATATTGCACCTTGCAGGACAGCAGAAGAAACTGGACGAGTGGAGGACTTTTTGCCGTTGAGACATGTAAACTGCCTTCTATCTGTGCAATAATCACAGATCAGTCTGCTAACATTTGAATTTACCCCACTTTCAGTAATGAGGTTGAGCAATGCTGATCGATCAAGACTGCCGAAAGCTTTTTTGTAGTCTAAGAACATCATTCTAACGGTCTTACTTTTCTTATCTAGTGCCGAGATTATTGAATGAACGAGATAGGCAACGGCATCCAGTGTTGACCGCGAGGAGCGATATGCAAATTGGTATATATCGTCTTCGTCAGACTCAGTGGCAACC